TCTCTCTTCTCTCTTCTCTCTTCTCTCTTCTCTCTTCTCTCTTCTCTCTTCTCTCTTCTCTCTTCTCTCTTCTCTCTTCTCTCTCTCTCTCTCATCTCTTTCTCATCTCTTTCTTTTTTACACCCTCTCTGTCTCTCTTCTCTCTCTTCTCTCTCTCTCTCTCTATCTCTCTCTCACATCACCCATCATCTACTTTCACTGATTCAGGGCAACGTTGATAGTATTTTATTAATCTCAGACTCTCACCTCTGGGTTTGCAAGGAAAAAGACATGATTCCAGTGCCTGCACTGAACAGGGCACCCCTGGACCTTGGGACCAACGACTTCCACATTTTACACCTTCCAAGAAGATCTGATCCTTCAGTGCAGTTCCAGTTGAGGTTTTAGTTTTGAGTTCAATCATGTTCAAATTCTTCAATCACACTGCCAGAATCTGCCAGATCAAACATAAAGAGCCCGATTTCTTCACCCGGAAAGTCTTCTGGGCCCTTCCAATGGGATCCATCGACGAACAGCCCTACGAGTTGCAGGTTTTGCATGGATCGTTACAGGCTTTGCATATGGGTTTTGCAACGGCATCCAGGACGAAGTTATCTCGGTTATCTCAGTTATCTCATCTCAGATGGTGTTTGTGCCTTGGCGCATCCTCGACGTGACAGCTCTCCGCGGCAGGGATCTCTGGTGCGACCTGCGCATCACAGATAAAAGTCAAGTGAAATGGTCCTGATGTGGATCAAATCATTATACAAAAAGGGTAGTTCAGAAATTACCCTAATTTTGCAGACATCTTCCAAAAAGATGATGAAACGGAGTATCCAAGGAGCTTGAACGGCGTCGACTCGGTCGACTGAGGCGTTGACGGTCCCTGAGAGATTCGAGCTGCAGCAGATGACTTATTGTTGAGACACAGAAAAGACTGTGCGGGAGATGCTGGCGATGTGTTTTGGCCGCAGATAGGGGTTAGACAGGGATTTTACGGGATTTAGATGAATTTAGAGCTGATTTAGGTGCCTGAAATGCGTTGATTCGGTGTCTCAAGGTGCAGTGCGCAGGTTGGATTTCACTTGGCAGCTAGCTGAAGAGGTGGGGTGTGGCTATGGCGGCTATGGTGAGGTGTGACATGGTGTGAGCGTGGAGATCGAATGTTTGAGCAGATTACAACAGGGCCGGTGTTGCTGTGTGTTACCATGTGCTCATCATCAGGTGAGTTCCGCACAATTCCGCACCATCAGATTGGGCAGGAGTTTTGTCGATGCCGCAGACATCTACAGACTACAGACATACAATCCACATCAATCCACTACCCACCACAATCCATCATAGTCCATCATGTGGTGATATGCACTCTGATGATCGTGATGCGCCACAGGTGTGGAAGAATTGCATGGCGCAGCTTTGGTTGAATTCCGACGACTGGCCAATTGAACCAATCCTGCAGAAAAACTCAGAAATCAGCAACCTGCCATCAAGAATCAAAAGGGGTCCAAATCCAAAGTGCCCAAAATTGAGATAATTGAGCATAAGAGCGGAGAAACTTGGGCATTTTCCGATAATTTGAAAGGCACAGCAAGGCAAGTGCAAGCTGATGCAAGCTGCAACCTGTGACATCTCCAAGGTGCAGGAGGCGGTGACTACACACTTGAGAGACCGTGAGAGTGGGCCAAAGTCTGCCCTTGGAAATCTGCGTGGCTGTCGCCCACTTTTTGAGCAGGCTGAACGATTAGTTTCCGTCGGCAATAGGGATCCAAAAGAGAAAGTGTCAAGTCAGTGGGGTCCTTTGACGAGAAGGGGGTATGGACGAATGCGGAGGAGCTTTTCAATGGCGCATTCTGCGGCTTCTAGCGGCAACTGCCAAGAGTTTTGGTCTGTTTTAGCTTTAGCTCCTCTGAGGCCCCCTTGACAGACAAAGGTGTCGAAACTGAAGCCGTCACCTCGGAAATGAAGCTCACGATTCACAGAAAATTCCAGGATTTTCCCCTTCAACGATTCGCCGAGGTCTTGGAGTACATCACTGCGTTGGCAGTTGACCTCCTGCAGGACTGCACTTGTGGATTGCACAGCTGGACCTACAGCCACCAGATGCCACCAGATGCTACCAGATGCTACCAGATGCCATCAGGAAGCTTCTGACCGGAAAGAGGTTGAAGAGGACCTTGAAGGTGCATTGCTGTGAGGCCCCGAGACTTGTTGCCTCCTGGCTCCCACCACCGCTTGGATACACTGAGGCCACACCTTGAAGGTGTAGATGGCGTTGAAGATACAGCTGCCTTTTTGTCCCAACTTCTAGAGCTTGGGCTGCAATGGGCCACGGCCTACAAGAATATAGTATTTTTGGCTGCTGAATGATTGTTGAATGCGCACAGTTTTTCGGTCTTAGTTGCACATAGTTGCACATTGCATTGCTTGTGCAGCCAGAAATTTTGAGGATAGCGTCTTCCCTCAGAAGAAAGTCCCAAAGGCTGCAGCCAAAACGGCCACTTGGAAAAACTTGGCCGGGCAAAGAAGGTGAAAATGCATCCAACATCATCCACAGCAACATGCATCCAGCATGTCAAATGGAACGTTCCACGCATATTAGTATTCCATGCGCTGTTGAGGCTGCGAAAGGGAAGGATGCTGACAATGGCAATTTGGTTTGCCACATTCCGAGACTTGGAATGCACTTGCTAAAGAAGTCCTACAAGATCCTACAAGTGTAATGCTGTCAGACCATCCCAAAGCTTAAGACACACATTTTGAACCACATTTGATCATTTTTGCACAGTGCACAGTGATGAGTCATGAGTTTTCCTTTATCTTTTACAAATTTAACATTCTTACTTTAAAGTCTGAACTTTAACGGGGCTTCACGAGAATCTGAGGAATCTGATCCTTATGTACGGTGGCAGTGTGTCTTGGCAGATGGCGACCTGGAAGACCTGGATGACCTGGATGGTCGATGGTCGGCGCCCACGGCCGAGGTCAAGCCGCTCCTGAGCAACACAGCCTTCGAGCTGAGACGTGGACGACGCTATGGCAACGTGTCCTTGACATATCTTGACATATCTTGACACACACACACACATATAGAATATACATATGATATATATAATATATAATATGATATATATAATATGATATATATATATATAATATGATATATATATAATATGATATATATATAATATGAAATACATATATAATGATATATATATATAATATGATATATATATAATATGATATATATATATAATATGATATATATATATAATATGATATATATATATAATATGATATATATATATATAATATGATATATATATATAATATGAAATATATATAATTTGATATATATATATATAATATGATATATATATAATATTATATATAATATGATATATATATAATATGATATATATATATATTTAATATGATATATATATAATATGATATATATATAATATGATATATATATAATATGATATATATATATAATATGATATATATATAATATGATATATATATAATATGATATATATATATAATATGATATATATATATAATATGATATATATATAATATGATATATATAAGTTGAAATATACCGACCCCTGAGCCCCACTATGTATAGCATAGGTAGTAGGTCTTGTGTAGAGCACTGCCGTAGCTATGAGTCCAATTAATCCCCAAGTAGCTATTCCCAACAATGTACAGAATAGCACCCCTTAGATAAGGAGAGTAGCCCTAGGTAGAGCTAGATACTTTCCCCTTCACCCTAACAACCACCTGGGTAAAGGGGTATAATTAAGTATGCTATCGACCCTTTGGCTCAAGTGCCCGCCAAAAGGGCGCTTGTTTGTTTGTTGTTTCATGCAGGGTCTGGTGAATTGGTTTCCCTCTTCTTTTGGGGTGTCCGGTTCTTCCCCCTGTTTGACTGGTTATCAGCCGCAAGGCTTTGTGTTAGGGAACCTAATTCATCGGAACTTGCTTAGGCCCTAACATCACATTCATCTTTTTCGCTGTCACACTTGCATGCCCACAGATACGTCTGAAGAGGTCGCTGACTTGGTCGCGACTGAAGCTCCAGCGGACGAAGGGGAGGAAGCGACGGACGCAGAGAGGGTTGAGCAATCTGTTCCCCAACCTGTGGAAGTTGCGACCGAACCTATCGTCTCCTGGGCAGACGCATCTGAGGATATTTTTGCGCCCGAGCCGTCTCTTGAGGGAACATCTGCAGTAGCTGACACAGATCGAGCCGAAGGACATCTGTTGGAGGTGAAGCAGGAGGAGTTCCGGGAGGCTACATCATTGGGTGCCGTTCTTTCTGTGATTGGAGTGCCAGAAGAGGTCGCTGACGAAGTCGCGACGGACGCTGCAGACCAAGCTTTTGATCAGGTTGAGGCTGACCCCAACGAAGTTCCAGCTGAAGCCGCCTTTGCTGATTTAGATCGTGTGAAGGAAGAAGGTCAAGACCGTCCTGCAGGTGAGCCGTCGCCTCTTGCTGAGCAAGCCGATCCAGACGTTGAGACAGCTGATCTTTTAGGTTTAGGTGACGAGGCGGGTCCAGTAGGAGAAGCATCCGTTGCATCCGAACCATCTGCATCCGTGCCTGAGCCTGTGGTCGCTGACACATCCGGTGTCGCGACTGAAGCCAACACTAATTGCCCCGGTGACATAGTCCCACCACCAACTAGTCCCAATCTTGTTGAACCTGGCACCGATCCTATCCAGGTAGGTCATTCCCCTGCAACCTCATCTAATCCCCCAAGGCAAAGGGTTAGATCAAGCCGGGGTGGTGCTCAAACCAGGTGGCAAGAAGCAAAGCGAGCTTGGCGGAACGACTTCGAGGCATACCAAAATTGGCTTTATTGGAATTCGGGAGGTGATATTGCAGGTGGCTTTTGGTTAAGAAAGATTTCTTACGAACAAGCCGACGAAAGCATTCGCTGGTTGATAGCTCTTCATTCAAGACTTGTGGAGGAGTTCCCAACATCACAGTGTTTAGCTTTAGCCTACAACATTCTCATCCCATACAAAGAGTGGGCTCACATCCACGGTTTTGACAGGCGTAGAGGTACTGCCCACGCACAGCAAGTGATTGATTCTGGTGATTTACCTCCAAAAAGGGTTATTAACCAACGAATCTTAGGGGCAGAGCACCCACGCGCAGAAGAGTGGGATATATATTATAGATATATAGGCCCACAGCAGCAGCCCCGGCCAAAGGGGGTTAGGCCAGCTGCCGCAACACCCGTTGCTGGCGCGGCAAGTGGTAGCGCAGATCCAACTCCGGTTGCCAAGCAACTCAAGGAGCCTGGGCACCCACCGCCCAACTGGCAGCCCTCACTGGGGGCCCCAAACCATCCGGTCCAACCGCCGCGTCCGAGGTTACTGTCTCTGTCCATCCAGTCCCACAAGCCCCAAAGTCAGATTCTCAAGGGGTCGCTGCCTTTGGGCGCGACGCAGCACCAGTCCCAGTAGCTAGCCCTGCTAGGCCACCACCTAAAGCTAGGCCCAAAGCTCCTGATTCTAGTGCCACCACCCTTGCAGATAGAGTTCGTGGTTTGCCACCTCCACCTAATACCATTGCCCCTAGTCCGCCCCCTCATAAACAACCACCTTTACCACCATTACCGCCTCCTCATTCACCACCACCTGGTGATAATTTTCCACCCCCACCATCTCATCCACCGCCAACTGCACAGGAGCTCGCTGCCCGCAGTTCCCAACGTGCAGAGGCGCGAGAAGAGGCTGCTCCAGCGGATCCCAACGATCCACCGCAAGAGGAGCAGGAGTGGGTTGCGGAAGAGGCGGAGGAAGAGGAGGTTTTAGAGGAGGACGAAGTAGTTGAGGTTGAGGTTGAGGCTGAAGCTGAACCCGAATTCCCTGACTTCACAACAACAGAACACGGCGGTGAGGTTTCCACGCGCCGTCGTAGGCCTAAAAGAACTAGGTCCAATCCGCAATTGCCTGTCAATCTAGTCCCAAGGGAAACCCGTGAACGAATTGAACTTAATCAAGAACTCTATAGAGCCCGAGCCATAACCGGTGTTTCTAGAAGACCTCTTGCTTTAAGACCCCAAGTGCACGGTTACCCCGAAATTAGAATTGACTCCGCTGGCACCTGGGCTAGGGTCGCTGATCCTCCGATCGCGTACGCGCCACAGACTTTGCCTTTTATCATCCCTCACGCTGAGGCTCCAGAGCTTAGGGTCAACCCGCACGAGCTTCCCGACTCGTTGTGGCGAGATCCTGCACTTAGATCCCATCGGACGGCTCTTGGTTCAAGTAATTTAGACCCCAATAGTGTCTATAACATTGCCACCAACAACCCCGATACCGAATCTGAAGGCTCTGAAACTGCTGAAACTCGAACCGCCAGGTTTGTATCATCAGCTCAGGCATTTGTCGGCCAGCAAGAACCTTTTGACGCTGGCTTCATTGAGCGCACCCCTGCCCGTCCAATTGAGTCTCCACCAAAGAGACAACGCCCTAACATAAGAACCTCTCAAATCCAACGTGATAAGCCGGCACAGCCCCGAAAAGATCCAGTTTCTGCTGCACCAACACCACCTGCAGCCCCTACAGTACCATCTTTGACTGTTCCCCCATTAAGCAGTTCTAGTAGTTCAGCTTATCCTCCCTGGAGGCAATCCTTGCAAAGTGCTGGAAGTGGGGTCGCTGACACAACCCGTGTCGCGACAGAGACTGCGTCAGAGCCAGCCGGTTCTCCCGTTGCACGATCCAGATCAAGAGCACCCTCAGCCGAGACTGCGCCTGCAGTTGCTGCCAAAACCAATAGGGGAAGGGAAGTACCAATTTCAAATAAGATCTCATCTAAGTCTCGCAAAAGAGCTAGTTCCGTTCCAGTGCCAAGACGTGCAAAGGGGGCTGCTGTCCCCGACACGCCTCAAAGGCCAGAACCTCTACCGCCAGCTCCAGAGCCTAAGAAGAATCTTCCGTGGAAACACCCACCTGTGGTAATTCCCCCAAGACCTACTAGGCCAGTTCCCCCTAATCCAGCTAGTCTTAAGCCCGTAAAACCTCCTCCACCAGGAATCGAGAGGGCAAGACCTGCTGGCCAACCGTCCCGAGACTTGCCTCCGCTTGATCCCGAAGGACAGCAGCAACAGCAAGAAGAACAAAGCTCAGGCTCTGGCCTTGCACCCCACGTCCGTGGGCGGCCTTTGCCTGAACCAGACCCAGATCGGCCAGAGGGGGTCGCTGGTACTGTACCGCGACATTACCAACAACAACCCAATTTAGTCTCTAAGGTAGTCCACGTTAGTTCATCTAACGTAGTTGTTTGCATTGACTGGCACGATACCATTGACCAAGCTCTCAACCCCATTGGTGAATTGTCTTCCCATCTAGTTGAAAAGCTTCGTACATTGACTAGGGTTGCTGGTAATCAAATTGAGTTCCATATCGTTTCATACGCCGGCCAATCTAAGATAGAAAGCACTAAAGCTGGTGCTGATCACGTGATTGGCCAATTGGTCGCAGAAGGTTTGCCGTTTAGAGAACTGCACCTTGCCCGCTATCCTTGCGGCAGGCAGGGCAAATCCTCTATCATCTCTGCACTCCAGGCACACTGTCTCGTGGACGACCGGTCCGACATTATAAACGAGTGCAAGCAGCTCGGCATCAAAACCATCCGATCAGAAGGGCGTGCTGATAAGGAGCTTTGCTGGATCGCTGAATTAGAGGACTGGCTCCGGCACGAGGGCATCAAGTACATCTTGCACGCCCGCCGTCCAGCGCCGCTTAGGGCCAACCAATTCTACCCGAATTTCGGGGGCCAGGACGATCGATCACTTTGGTAGACCCTGGCACAAGTCCAGTGGTTCTACAACATCCGATAGGTGCATCCGAAAAGCCGAGGTAGCTGAGCTTGCTCGCTACACTCCGTCGGTCTGTCCCTGTCGTTTGCTGAGTGTCTTTTGTCCCATTGCATTTTGCCTTTGTTTTTAGTTCAGTGTTGTTTCTGTGGTCAGAGCTAGGGTCATTACCGCTAGCGAAGCCATAGTTCATCC